TATCACATTTCGGTAATTTCTTACTTTTTGGACGGGGTCCATGGACTAGAACACAATAACTTTTTTTAGAAAACTGCCATAAAGCAGTGTTTATTGCTATAATGATATGAAGGAGTTGAAGCGCTTGAAATCTTCATCTCCAAACACTCCGACGAACTTACGAGTCGAAGGGGAGGACGTATTTTTTTGTTGTAGTCAAAACTTACTTCGACTACAACATATCGCAATCGACTACTCCCTGCTTTTGAGTGTATGAGCTTTGCAAACAGCGTTTGTTGTGAACCCTCTGGTTCTCTAAAGTATCAGGAACGAACGCCCCCACACGGCACGAGGACAACTATTTATTCTCAACAGTATATTTCACTTCCATCGACTAATAACAATGAACAATGAATGAACAACTGAAACAACTGAAAGAACTAACACTAAAACCACCAGGTAGTTATAGCGTGAAAATGACAGCGTATATGAGAAAAGCATACACATACAACATACAACTACAGCGCACACAGCAAACCGCACATAGCGCCAGTAACGTATGCCACGTCGTAAACATCAGCGGTACGGCGGAGTCGGGATACAGCTGCATTGAAACGAACACAATGTCACAAGCGAGAAGGCCTTTCACTCTCGAGAACTTGTCGTTTCACAACATTCTCCCCACCAAAGGGCTTCTCACCGCCGTACACCAACTCACAAGTCAAACGATTTGGGGCTTACTACGCGTCATCTGCTGCTGCGGTGGTGGCCATGGTAGAATATCACGAATGCCCACCAATTCAGAAAACTCGACATCGCGAAGCTTGCCGCTGTGGACTGTCGCACACGACACTGTCACCGATCCACTTCGACATGGGGCAGACGCTGGACCAGACAACACACAACCGATAATGTCATAAAGATCGACGATGTGGGCTGTCACATACGACATGGTCACCGGTACACTGCTTCGACCCGGGGCGGGCGCGGAATCCGAGGACACACATCGGATCTCTGTGTTCCACACAGTCTCGCCGCTTACTTCTTCCGTGCTAACCAGTAGTATCGCCTTTCTCATTTTCTCGGCTTCTACGCCTTGCGTTTCTAAGTCTTGCGCCTCTAACTCTTGCGCCTCTAACTCTTGCGCCTCTAACTCTTGCGCTTCTAACTCTGGCGCTTCTAACTCTTGCGCTTCTAACTCTTGCGCCTCTACGTCTTGCGCCTCTACGTCTTGCGCCTCTACGTCTTGCGCCTCTACGTCGTTCGGCCGAGACTCCAGCTGCTTCTGAGCGTCTCCGACCGATGTCGCCATGCTCTGTACCGACGCAGTGGGCCTTGGAACTGATCCTCCCACTGGCTTCGAATACTCCTCTGACCGCTGCTTGTCTGTAAGCAAAGTCTTACACGCCTTGTCCGGCGTCCTTCCGGGCGAGGCAAGCAAATCTCGCTTTGCTTCCTCATAATATGTACTGACGGCGATGCGCTCGTCCATCTTCTTGAGCTTTTCGTTAAACTCTGTGCGGAGCGCACCCTCTTGCCGTCCAGCACTGCGCTTTTCAAACTCCTCGCTCTGTCGGAGCCTTTTCGCCACGTATTCTCTCAACCTTTCGCCTTCAAATCCATACCGAATTCCGTTAGCGATAAAGCTGGCTTCAATGATCCATAGTTCCTGTGCCATGCTCGCTTGGTATCCTGGCGTGGTCGCCAAATGTTGTGAACCCTCTGGTTCTCTAAAGTATCAGGAACGAACGACCCCACACGGCACGAGGACAACTATTTATTCTCAACAGTATATTTCACTTCCATCGACTAATAACAATGAACAATGAATGAACAACTGAAACAACTGAAAGAACTAACACTAAAACCACCAGGTAGTTATAGCGTGAAAATGACAGCGTATATGAGAAAAGCATACACATACAACATACAACTACAGCGCACACAGCAAACCGCACATAGCGCCTGTAACGTATGCCACGTCGTAAACATCACCGGTACGGCGGAGTCGGGATACAGCTGCATTGAAACGAACACAATGTCACAAGCGAGAAGGCCTTTCACTCTCGAGAACTTGTCGTTTCACAACAGCGTTATCTGCACGAGTTGGGCATGGCTGAAGAGTTTGATCAGACGTTGGCAGTTTTGCTCTTTGCCTACGACAAAGGTCTACTGGGTAAGGATAAGCTGCTTTTGCTTATCCTTGCGTTGGAGGATGATTGCCAGTTGAACATCGAAAGGAGGAGACTCCCTCCACGTCTTTGCATACGATCTCTGCCAGATGACGCTTGCATGCTCCGATTTCGATTTGTCAAGGCGGAGTTACACGAATTGTGCGATGCTTTGCGTATGCCTCAGACTATGAGAGGCGACAATAGGATCACGTGGACAGGGATGGATGGTCTACTGGTTGTGTTGAGGCGATTGGCATTTCCTTGCCGATTGGTAGATCTGGCTGAGGAGTTTGGGCGGTACGAAGAAGATATAAGTCGGATATTTAATACGACACTGCTATGGATATGGAACCGGTGGAGTCACGTGATCGAAAACCCTTTTGACCAAGGATGCCTCACCCCAGCTACATTGCGGTCCTACAGCGACTCTACCCAACGGAAAACTGGTGTAGATATGCTCATCTGGGGATTCATTGACGGTACAGTCCGCCCCATGTGCCGTCCCGGGCATAATCAGCGCATCTTTTACAACGGGCACAAGCGCGTCCATGCATTAAAATTTCAAGCAGTGACCACACCGGATGGACTAATCACCCATCTATTTGGCCCTGTAGAAGGCCGCCGTCACGATGCAGGAGTCTTAGCGGAAAGCCATCTCCTGGTCGAGCTTCAGAACAACGTGCGCCTTCCCGATGGCCGGTGCTATGCACTGTACGGTGATCCAGCGTATCCTTTCAGCCAATTTATCCAGAAGGGGTATCTTGGTGGGAATGTAACTCCACAACAACGTGAGTTCAACACGGCCATGAATTCCGCGCGTCAAACGGTGGAGTGGGCATTTGGTGAAGTGAGCACCTACTGGGCGCTGATCAACAATTACAAGCAGCTGAAGCTTGGACTTCAGCCCATCGCTGTTTACTACAAAGTTGCTGCTTTGCTTTGCAATTGCAGAACTATCATTCGCCGAGGGAACAAGACGTCAGCGTACTTTGAACTGCAACCACCTGAACTCGTGCAATATCTACGGTGAACAGAACTCTCACAATTTATTTCGGAGTTTCATGTATAAAACAAACCTTACAGTATCAGGTGGTCCGTTGTGAGGAGAGCCGCACCATACTCTAACATCTCGAAGCGCTGCAACCTGTGTCTGGCCGAGAAGCTAGAGATAGCCTGGGCCGACAAGACCCGCTCCCTCAACAAGACGTCAGAGCTTGTGTCCAAGTGTCGTCATTAAAACAAGTTCTACCTCTGTAACTTTGTCCGCAAGGTCAAGTGAATCTAGCTGGTAGTCCCGCTGCCTAGTGTGTGTGTGTGTGTGTGTGTGTGTGTGTGTGTGTGTGTGTGTGTGTGTGTGTGTGTGTGTGTGTGTGTGTGTGTGTGTGTGTGTGTGTGTGTGTGTGTGTGTGTGTGTGAGTGTGCACGTGCATGTTTGAGTGTGTGTGTGTGTGTGTGTGTGTGTGTGTGTGTGTGTTTGTGTGCATGCGTGAGAAAGAGAGTGCGTGTGGGTGATTGGATAAGTGCGGGTGCAAATATGTGTGCGGTAGGTGTGAGAATGAAAGGATGAGTATTGTGGCCGTGTGTGTGTGTGTGTGTGTGTGTGTGTATATATGTGTGTGTGTGTGTGAGAGAGAGAGAGAGAGAGAGAGAGAGAGAGAGAGAATGTTTGTATGAGATTTGGAGAATGTGTGTGTGTATAGGTAAGATTTAGAGAATGTGTGTGTGAGATTTGGAGAATGTGTGTGTGTGTGTGTGTGTGTGTGTGTGTGTGTGTGTGTGTGTGTGTGTGTGTGTGTGTGTGTGTGTGAGATATAGAGAATGAATGTGTGTGTGTGCGTGTGTGTGTGTGCGTGTGTGTGTGTGTGAGAGAGAGAGATTTAGAGAATGTGTGTGACGACGCGCGTGTGAGTGTATGTGTATGTGAGAAAAGGGAGAGGGTGTGGGTGTATGTTTGTGTAGTGGTGTGGGCATGTGTGGATTTGGCATTTTTCCCCTGCTCTATTCTATATCATTCACGCCGGAACTACTGCTGCATAGCCCCAAATCTGAAGACTTGGCAACTTCACGCCTGCACCTGACACTTGCGCTATGATACGCGTCGCCTATGACACCCCTCAGGATTTCCCACCTTGCTCCCCCTTATGTTCTGGCTGCTTGTTTTGGATCCATCAGTTGCCTGATGATCGTAGTAATACGTGAAACTCAGAGTTGTAACAAAGCTTCCAAATTCTTTCTTGTGTATATAATAATATAATTTTTTTAAACGAAGCATGTAACTTCAAACATAGTGCTTCGCTCTCCGGTATGCCCACGCCATGTACATACCTCCCCCCCCCCCCCCCCTGTGTGCTCCCCTACGCATTCACGCTGAACAACTTTTACTTTCCACTACTTTCACTTTAGCTCATACATGTACATGTACACCCTTCAAAGCGGTGAACCCCTTGATAGGCGATAAGCCTCTGGGTCATCCTAATAAAGATAATACTATTACTAAAGTACACTGTAGCGTGTGACGGCGAATTATTTATTATTTATTATTATCTTTATTCTCACGATGGCCGTAGCCAATAAGAGAGAGACAGTACTATGTGTTATCAATCAGAGTGAGTGCAATAAACCGGGAGAAACAGTGGCTAGTGGCAGCCGTGGTTTGGGTGCTTCATTTTTAAGTAAAGACGAAGAAGGAAGTATATCCACTGCGAAGACAGGTAGGCGATAGAGCTTGATTAAAATAATATTCCTAGGCTGGGCTACAGCGGGGGTTGGAGCATGTGCAAATTGATGATCCTGTAATGTGCTCGGTCTAAGGCAAGGAGGCAACTACCCACAGTCAGTCAACGAACGTATCAGAACTTACTCCGGCACGGCCTGGAGGTTATCTTATATCAAATATTCCTAAGTGAACAGAACTCTATCTTGTTCTCTCTCTGATATCTATCGGATCTCTCCGATCTCTTCTCTAATCTAATCTCTAATCTAATCTGAGCTAATCTCATGGTGGCAGAAAAGACAGCAGCTTTTATAGGCGAGCAAAGTATATGACATTGCAAATTGCAGTGATTACGAAATCATCCTTCTAGTACAAGTTCTAGAATAGTGGAGAAGGCAAACCTAGATCATCATTGCTATACAGGTAGATGAAGTGAGCATTGCGTAACATTAACATAATGACTAAGCGAGGCATTCTAGAAGATGAGATATCTATATTATGCAATTTAGTCAGCAACATTACTCATCGGGCATATGACGTGGAAGGTCTGGAATAGTCCGGAACAACATGACATACATGTACATGACTGTGCATGACTGTACTAACTAAAAGGAAGTGACACTAGAAGTGATGACAGCAGCATGCATGGAAGATCTAGGATCTTTCTAGAAGTGCGGTACTCCTGATGTAATCAAGTCATGTGTGAGCTACATGATGTAGGACTTGTCCGAAAGTAGTAACAAGAGTAATTATAAGAGTCATGCAAAATACATGTACTACAGTGCATTTCAAAACTATAGACGCGTAGGGTTTTTGAAATATTTCAAATTTGGCTGGAACTTTTTGAGAATAGTTTTCGGAATATTGCTCAGGATCGCTCCACAATTACTCTCATATAGTTTCTAAAGGATTGGATAACAGACGCCCAATTTGGAAAATTTTATGCACAAAGTGATCACAGATTTTATGTGGTATAGATGCTGGCATAACGGTTTTTGCCTAGGTACGCGTCTATAGTTTTGAAATGGACTGTAGTCATGTGTAAACTGTAAAGCAGGGATACTGCAATACTATGATCAGGGTACCTTCTCTTTTGAATGCATCTATTTCTCGGAGGGAATAAAAGTGTCGTGGCAGGTGGTTGTACTGAGAGCATGCGGAGTACAAGGGTGAACGTTGAAGGCGGGTGGAGTGGGTGGTGGGGAGGGCAAAGACTCGATGACGCCTCAATTCTCAGCTTGGTGGCTCGGTGATGTGGCCTGAGGTCACAAGCTGGATTTGTGGCGGGGAATTATGAAAACTTGGAAGCAAATGTTTTCATTAAATCTATGAGTGCGCGGCGCTCAGCAGCTGCATCTTCTTCCCTCTCGTCCTCTCTTTTCAGCCTGGCTGCTTGATCCTTTTCGTCCATCTCTTGTTTCTTCTTCCTCTGTATGTCATCCGCGATGAATTTCCTTTCCTCAAGGTCCATCTTGGCTTTATCTAATAGCAGCTTGTCTTGATGCTGCTGCTGTTCCAGTTCTAGCTGTGCTTTTTTTACTGCTGCATCCGCCTCCTGTGAGGTCTTCAGGTAAGCAATAGCGAGTTCAACGCTCGACGTTCCGTGTTTCTTCCGCTTTGCAGCGGGCTCATCTGCTGCTTCCTTACTCTTACTGGCCAGCGTCACGCACGCATCCTTTCTCGCCTGGAGGGCAGCTTGTTTCTCGCCATCACCAGCAGGCTTGGGCTGGGCTTTTTCAGCATAAAGCTCCTGGAGCTCAGCCAGAAGCTGGCCTTTCTCCGTTAGCTCCTCCTCAGTGCCAGATCTGAAAGGTGAAAGAAAGCATATTTAGACAAACATGAATGAGTCACCAAAAGATAACTTTTAAACGTCAATTTATACGGTTTAAATTTCAGCCTTGTCCTTCACCCCATACATGTACATGTACATCTAACATGAGAGGATGTGTTTCCATGGATTGGATGGGACGTCGATGTGCCGTATAAACTTATTCCATATGAGCATCAAAGCAACACTGCAAATTCACCTACATGTAGTCCCCTGCCTAACCATTCTGTACCATGTTCCATATGTACCTGTATATGCAAAAGACCTCTCTGCACGGCTCTGTGGATTCTTTTGCTTGATGTCTAAAGGTATTTAAAATACCGTTAAGATCACTTTTTTGCATTGGTGTGTGTGTGTGGGGGGGGGGGGGTATACCTCAGTGCAACAAATACATACATGTATTGTACATGTACTTGTATCTTGATACATGAACACCCAAAAAAACTTACTGCCGTTTTTTCCACTCATCGCCTTTGTTGAAGAGCTCGAGCAGCAGCAAAACTCGATCACGCACACCCTTTTTGTTGATACCACAAAACTTGGTTGGATCCGAGTTGGATAATTCAGCAGCAACTATGTCCATAGCTGGGCTCCCTCTTCTAAAGGGGCACTCTTGCGACCGCAGTTGCCTCAGTATGGCAAGGTCCATACACAAATCGAACGATCTTCTTACACTTATACAGGGTGAAACGCCACCACGACTAGGACTGGCATATGCCACTGGGCTCATGGCGACAGACGTTGGTTTCAGGCAAGAGGGGTCAGGAGTCTGAGACATGGCAACGGTACAAGAAGAAGTCAAAAGTACAACTGTCGAGATGAACAAGAAAAGGTATGTGGGAACGAGCCAAAATGTGAACATGAAAGCGCAACTGTGCGAAGTGAAATAAAAACCAACCAACCAACCAACCAACCAAATAAAAATGTTCTGCCTCAATTCGGACAAGATTCAGTCTTCAGGTCAAAGTTCACACCTTTGACCCCTGATGTGGGGCTTCAACTGAACACCGGGAGTTGTAAAATATCAGTATTTTAGTACTCCATGCAACGAAAAATAGTTTCGTAGATTTGCTCTGTTTCGGTCGCGTTTGGACGGATCTTTGTAGCAACTTTCGTTACTCGAACCCGGACGGTCGAAATCTTACGAATTTTCGTTGTGCGCAACCTCTCTAGTGAGAAGATGCCAGCAGAAACAGAATTCAATGTAATGCTTTGGTCGTTTGGAGGTGAAAAGGTGTTTCGGAAGGAAGTGAAGCCATTGTTTTGGTCAGACGAGTGCTGTTTTCTAAACGTTTGGCAAGCGAGTGTAAGCTTACCAGTTTCAAGTGCGGGCCAAAGTTATTCAGTCAAGTTGATTTCAGTAGTTCTACTCTTCTCGCAGTTGTTCGTATACCGGCGTCTGTAACCGACGAGTTGCCATCGTTGTTCAGGTGAGTTCTTGTTACTGCGAATATATGCCTCGATTACATTCGACGGAGCGCAACGTGACAGAATCTGAGTAGCAGCGGGAGCCAATGGGAGGCTTACGAAGTCGATCCCTGATGTCCAATGGAACGAATCTCCTCAAACTTACGACACAACTACCGTACTCGCGCGATTAGAGCCCTCTCTCGAAAAGTGCCCTAGTCTCCAAGAGTCAGGGAAAAATCAAGCCCTTTCTTGAATAGTGCTCCCCACCCGGTCTTGTAACCAAGCCCATGTGCAAGTTTGGTGTTCTTTTGCTAATGTTCTTGGCCATTGCTTTGCACTGGTGTTTTCAGGAACAAAATCGCAGGTCTTGTTACCGTTTCTGTGGAGTCGTGAGCGTTTACAGTACACTTTAGCCTCTGTTTTTTTCTTTGTTTTAAGCTGGATGACGCAAATGTACCAGCAATGAAAAAACAGTGCCCTCTCTTGAATACTGCCCAATCTGTGATGGACATTGAAAAGTGCCTCAGGAGCACTAATCGCGCGAGTACGGAAATAGGAATGCTAGAACGTTTTTCGGGCTGGTATCAAAACATTCTTGCCATTGATTATGTTATGCGTGCACGAAGTCTAGCACCCTACTGTATGTTGGGCGTACAGTTGTGTGCAAAGCTGTCCATGAGATTGTTGTAGTCTAGTACACACCTGTCACGGTTATCCTCGCTCGTAGGCGAGACCAGAGTGTATCCGAGTGCCGCTAGGATGTTGTTGCCCCATGGATTCCTGGTGGGCTGCTGGGCGATAAGCGGCAAAAGCAGACCAGTGACTGCATCCGCCGCACATCTATGAAAAACCAAATTCCCCATTTCGCTCAAAGGTTTGCTCCATTCATCCTCGGAGGGGCCTCACATCAACACAGCAACAGTTCGTTCCATATGGGATGTCATTGAAATTCAAAAATCGAGGAAACGTACCAGAAGAAAGAGTCACGGGGACTCAGCTGCGAATCTCCACCAGACTTACATGGAATGCGAAGCAATTTCAAACACGCCTTGTGGTCAAGAAAGTTTTTTTTTGATTCCAAGTATTTTATAGACATGCAGGAGGCGTACATGGCCACGTCCATATGGACATGAGAGTAGATGTGTGCACGAAAATGATGAAAATGAACTGGGCACTGTGAAAATGCCCTGTTTTTCAGGCACGCATACACACTCATGACTCTTGCCGTGTATACCACACTGTCTCTTATTCCCGTAGCTATGCAAAAGACGTCACTTCAGTAACGTCTGGTGCTAGCCAGGGTCCACACAGCATTAATTCCGTGTTTGTTTGCTTGTTTGCGCCATCAGCATGCCTGCCGGTATCCCGTACCGTTCCATTAAAGACAGGTGGCCACAATATTAAAATAGGGCTTTCAAATGCAAGATCTTAACGAGAACTTGGAAGAATGAGTATGGATGCGAAGTGTATCGGGGGAATGCATGCAGGGCGATAGTGTGAGTTCAAATCCTGGGTTATGTCTTTAAAAAAATAGGAGAAATGAAAAATGTATAACATCCCTATGGATTGGATTGGATTGGATTGGATTTTATTTATAGTGGTGACTATAACAGATAATTGCCTAATAAGAATAGACCAACTCGAGGGAAAGATGCAAAAGATATGAATTATTAATATAATAGACTATTGGATAGGTGATCATGCTCGCGATAGAACGAATGGTTGTAGCAACAGACCATGCACGCCCAACTTTGCTTTTTTGCCTAGGTCATCAAGATGGTAGACAGTGTCGTATTACCCTCGAATGCAAAGAGAAAGTTAAATTCTTTCGATCAGGGTCCTACGGCCTAAAGTATGTATACCTGACCTGGATTCCGCTTTATTGCCTAGCTCCTCATGAAATTAAAATAATACATTTATGATAATAAACTCAGATACTGATGAAAATGTGAAGAAATGATGTTGAGAAAATGAGGATTCAAACAAGTTTTCGTACAACACTCATCAGGAATCTTCGTTGTACTAAAGGACAATGAAAACTAAATTGAACTATTATAGAAAATCTAAATTAGAGAGAGAGCTACGATTGTAGTGATCGTGAGAGTGCCGGTGGGAAGGTTAGTGTTGTGCGTAGGTTTTGTGGGAGCAAGTCTTCAGTGTACAATCATCAGTTGGCTGGTCCTGATTGTTGCAATTCATATTCCGATTCTTCTTTCACTGTATTGTGCCGTGGTCGTCATGGTTATGGACTACAGTTAAAAGTTTTGGAAGCCATCTGTCAGCGTCTGTATAAGCCTAATTTGTGTGTACAGAAGGATAGTATAATTGGGTTGAAATTGTTCAAGTCAAGTTTCATGATTTGTGCGGCCAAGCTTGTCCGCTAATTTTCTAGGTGTAATGTACTGCTGTTATTTGTTATCACTTTGTCCCCTTCTCTTCTTTGTTCATTTTTCAGTTGCAAGTTTAGTATAAGTACACGCATTCGTTATTGCTCTCGCTTTCATTGATATAATTAACAATTGTAAATTTTACTGCTGTTGTTCTTGTTGTTCTTAGTGTTATTTCTCTAACTCAGATACTGAGCCAGTAATTAAATGTAAAAAAGAGAAGAAAAAAAGAGAAGAAACACATGAGAACGAGTTATGCAGCAACTATCCACGACATTTTTCGCTCGCTGCGCTCACCTTCCCCTCTCCGGTCCTACGTAACCATGAACCTTCCAAGTTGGAAGGCTGTTGGTTTGCGCACTGGGGATGTGTTAGAGCTAGGCATCGGGTCGCTCAATGTCTCAGTAGCCTGTCAGTTGTGTGGCCTATTATCGCACTTTCTGACAAGTTATCATCTTGTTACAGTCGTGGATAGTTGCGGCACAACTCGTTTCCATGTGTTTCTTCTCTTTTTTACATTTAATAATAATAAATAATTCATGTTATTTGAACAGATTGAAACTTTTTTCAATACAATGATGTAGCCGATCAGTTCGTTGTGGTATGGCTGGGAATCGTAGCCATTATTTTTTTCGGGTTTTAGAGTTCGTATCGGAGCAGCCATTCTCCCATTCAAATCGAGCCGCCATGGTCGACGTAAAACACTATTTATATACACAAGCTCGGGGAGCAAACGTCTCTCTGTCCCATAAGCTGCTACATACCAACTAGATATAAAACCATGCACATCACACGCGCTGACTTGCACGCGTGGCCCTTTTCACGAACCCAGACAAAGGGATTGGTCTATTACAGTCAACTTCGCTAATAACGACTGCGGATATAACGACAATTCGCAAAAAATGACATAATTTTCATGCCCGGAGCAAAGTCCCATCCAACTGTGACACATATAATGAGACTTCGGATAAAGACACTTCGCGAATAACGACACTTTTCTGATGCCCTGCCGAGTGTCGTTATAAGCGAAATTGACTGTATAACTCATGTAGGAAGTCACTAGATTACACCCGCACCAGAGATGAAGGCGATAGCGCCAGACATCAATACGGTTTTGTACGGTATAAGGGTGTCGTATAGCATATCATACAACAGTACGATGAAATTGTGGGAGAAACCAGCGACCGCTTGGGAATGATGAACATTACAACAGTCTTATTGTGAGTGATGGTCATGCCAAGTTTCTGAAGATCAGTAGCGAGTCCTATCCCGAGCATTATGTTAGCATTACGAAAGCGTAGACAGTTTGTATTATAGGAGACCCAAGTTGCTGAAAACCAGTAGTCATTGCTGATAATGCGCAGAAAAACTAAATCCGTAGCCTCTTTTGTCATCGGACAGGATGTGTATTATAGGTAGTGCTGAAACGAGTACGCCGAGTACTCGAGTACCCGCTCGTTGAGTACTCGACTCGATATCAAAAAAGGACTCGATACTCGACAAAAAAAAAAAAAAAACTTGATAGCGACGTACACGTCCGCTGATCCGGCACACGAACGCGTAGTACTACTACTCACCTGATCAAGTTTTTGTACATTACTGAGTACTGTACTCGTCTACTGCGCTGCACTGTCGTAGGCTGTAGCAAAAGTCGAACAGGAAGCGTATACGCGTGTGCGCTTGACAAGCGCATGTAGTACATGGTAGTAGGCTCGGACCTATTTTGAATACAAGTATTTCTCTCGCTTTTCTGTTTACTTACTTGCGAATGCCGATGGCGATGAAGTCGAGATCAAAGTGAAGTATCTAGAGAGATGGCGGTAAATTTAGTTGAAGCTGAGGCATTTACGGATTCTCCGTTTCAGAGATCTCCGCGCTCCAACGTGTGGAAGCACTTCACTCGCAATGCCGCCAAGGACCAGGCGACGTGTAATTTGTGCAAGGCAGTGTTGTCCTACAAAGGATCATCGACAACGAGCTTGCATCGACATCTGAGCAACCGTCACCCGTCGTCGGCAAGCCTTCCTGAACAAAAGGACTCTAAACGGTCAACAAAGCAGACAG